ACGGTAGAAACCACAGCAATACTTTTCCTGGCCATGGCCATATCTGTATGTATGTATGTATGTATGTATGTATGTATGTATGTATGTATGTATGTGCATACATAGAGAGTTCCGGGTACAGCCCCTCATGACACGTTTCCGGGCTATATTATCCCCTCCAGAACTCAATCAGTCGAACCGAGTATAGCCAGCAACAAGACGAGCAAGAGCACTGCACATGGAAGGAGACTTTAATGCCAGACGATCCAGTTGCATACATGATACCTGAACTTAGCCTGTTCTACATCGCGGATCCAGTCAAAACGGAAAGGATAGCGTTCGCACAACACAGGTGTCCTGTCTATGTGTGGCGCGCAATGTGGTCTTTTCCGCTGTATTATACGGGTCTGAATAACTACAAGCACTATCCCTCGATAGTCCCAGAATCATATAGGCCCCTGTATTCATTAGCCATGCTGCGCCAGCTCCAGAAGATTCGGTTTTGTTTTCGGGCTGCATCCCCCAAGCCCTAAACAAGCCCTACCCCTTGTTTTGGGTCCCTTTTGGCGGTCCCCAAACTAGTACGGAACCCTACTTATATACATGACCCTAAATGAGACCCGAGCTTATAGAACCACCCAAGCAGAGACAACAACAACAACCCGAGATCAGAAAGCTCCCTGAAAGCTGAAGAATGCAAACTGAAGCCAAAGGAAAAGTCTGAGTCCCAGACACCCCCCAAAGTTATGCCCAAACGTAGCAATAACATCCCTTGAAGGTGTTTACATAAATCGAACTCGACGAAACTATGCGCAGGAGCCGGTTCCCAACCCTCTAAAGCTGGAGAAGATCTTTGATGAGCCGGACGCCTCCCAGAAGGAGGAGAGAGCGACGGAATTGGATCTGGTGATATCTAGGTCCATGGCTCGGGACTTAGTAGGAGGACAGGCGGACTTGGAGTTTGAAAGGGGGCTGAGGAATCCTGGGTAGGGTTCACAGCTTAGTATGCTTACGCTTCTTCTCGTTGTTGTAGCTGTTAGCTGCCAGTCTTCGTAGTTGTGCTATGACTGTTTCTTATTGATTTTTCATTCCTGGTCTTGTAACTCTTGTTGTGGTGTTGTTGTTGTTGTTGTTGTTAGTGTTCTTGTTCTTGTTATTGATATTCTTGGCATTATTACCATGATTTGTTTTGTTTGTATTATAAATGCGGCTGCTGTTGCTGCTGCTGTTGTTGGCCCGCGTACCCATTATATATTAACAGAAAACCGCAGGGCGGCGTGCTCTGGGACAACCATGCACTAAAGCTCTTTCAAAAAACGTTGTCCTTTGCTCCTTTTGTGCATCCTCCCACAGAACCCTCCGGAACCCATCCCGAACCCTCGAACCAGAGCAAACGACGTGGTTTTTGGTTCGCAATCGTTCGTTGCGAAAACGACCTAGAACCAACCTTTTCCCTATTTTTTCTCACCCCCACAACTGCGAAGCGGAGGAGTTTGCGCATGATGTGCTGTGCATGGCAATGGTCGGGCGTCTGCCTTGGACTGAATCTCTGTCTCTCTCGCGCTTCTTTCTTCTTGTACCCATCACATGCGTACATACACCTGTACATACACGGCATGCAGTCATACCGTTATCACGCCCGCACACACACGCATCTTATGTAGCTAGCGTCTTAGCATATACACAGATAGGCAAGCATACTGAACATGTGTATATACAGGCATACAGGTTTACACAGACGACTGATACATAAGACGACGGACAGATGGATGGATAGACATGTTGACGGATCTGGTCGATTGCTTCATCGACGGTTGGCGGGTTCATGCGCCAAGCCCCTCAACCCTGAACCCGATGTCTCGTTCATCTCGTCCTTGTGGTTCACCTAATCCATGTTAAACCCGCAAAACCTAAACCTAAGCTTTCGCCATACATGCATACATAAACCGCATGCAGTCGCACACACATGCACACGCCACACATACATATGCATGTACACGTGCATACGTACACAGACGGAGACAGGTAGGTAGGCAGGTAGGCAGACAGACATATACATGTCTGTACCCGTTTTTGCACAGTCATGGTTTTTAAATCTCAAAGGAAAGGCAAGTTCAAGAGATGTTATGGTCAGTAGTGGAATGCTGAAGGTTTCGGGCTAAGATCTGTGGGCAATCAGGCCATGTTGTGTTTCCGGCAGTCTCTATCTAAGCCCCTCTGAAACCTGCCAATCCCCGAACCTGAACTCCAGACTCGACCGACTCTACAGGCTCTAACATTCCTGAAGCAAGACCCTGGCAGACGGAGAAGAACCCTTAGAACCCCAGAAGAACCATGATCGAAGTCGTAAAGGCTTGAGAAGAAGCCCACACACAAGGCATATCCCAGCTTGGGGGCCTTGTAACAAGTAAGGATCCTCCTAGAATCTCGGGTCTCTTATGAGAAGGCCCCTACTCTACTAGTACTTAGTACGACTTGGAGTCCCCTTACAGCACAGATCCTAATATTGATGCCCCTAACCCAAAAGACCTTCTTGTCTTAATGGGAAAGTTCAGAGACGCAAACGCAACCATGCAAGGTTGTTGGGTTACAGGTATAGAGTATGCCCCCAACCCGACACTCAGGAAGAACACTCTGCGGCTGGCGGCAGTAGTGGCAGAATCTGCGCATGCTCAGCCGTTGTTTAGGGGTCTACATTACAGTTTTTTGTTTATGGTTAAAGTCGGTTAAGGTCGGTCAGGGTTGGGGAGTTGACGACTTCGGGCTTTCAGGGTTTTACGGTTTGTGCTCTTAAGGTTTAGGTAGTTTTCAGGGTTGAGGGGTTGATTAAGGTATCGGGTGTTCTAGTTCACAACAGCGCTTTCAGGCTTAGATTAGTTTTCTTTGTTTTAAAGTCTTTGAAGTTGTAGCTACGAGGTTGGGGCTTAGGAGTATGGGTCCAGGCTACACCTCTGCATCCGACCCGCAGTGGTCTTAGGAGTTTCTTTGAGTCTCTATTGAGAGAACACTCCAGGGGATATATGTAAAAATGTTGTTTATGTTTTGGTTCACCGGCCTCATAAGCCAAAAAGAGATCGACAAGACCTGAGCCCCCAATAAAAGGTACTAGCACCTTCAGCCCAGGAAAGGCTGGGTATTGCTTCGGATGTTCCAGTGTATAGCTCCAGAGTAGGAGATTCTTTTGCTCCACGACTCCACCATACCAAAAGTCAACGTTCCATTCCGAGATCGGGAGCCTGAGTAGTCAGGCTTTGTTGTGTAGGATGGGCATCGATTTCGGCATCTAAACGTATCCATTCGCGAACGTTTTTGAGCGGTGCAAGTACCTGCAGTCTTTTTCAGAGCATCTGAGGTCACAAGGGCCCTTGACATGAAATGCCCATAGAGCCCTAAGCCCTGACCCCAAATTTTGACCTTATAACCCTCCTGAAATGAACGGTGCATCCAAGACCCCATGACTGTACTACATGTACAGAAAATGTCTGGCTAATCTCAAGCGATGCCAGGCGGGACCCAAGCCAGACGCGGGAGAGCTTGAACCGCAAAGTGGAGGAAAGCCGATCCCCCACCCGAAAAGGCGGTGATCTTTGCAGATTTGCGAGTCGGGCTTGGGAGACGGAGTCTTGGCGGTGCAGGCACCTTCGGAGTATGAAGCTCGTGCAAGGGAGTTGCACCCGCGAATGCTTTGTTCAGACCATGAGAAGCCCCAGACGGAAGGTCAAATCTTGACGTTGAAACCGCAAACATCGACCGTACAGGAGTACTTAGACCGTCGCGATCCACAGCGCATGGCAGACCTGCTCGCGTGTAGCCCAGACAGCCTTGCACAAACCTGAATATATCGGGTCGGGTGTTGTGGCGGACAAGTAGCATGCGAGCCGCCGTGTCAGCCTTCGAGTTTGCGCTTTGTTCTGGAGAATGTGCAGATAGTGACCCAAAAACCCTCGTCGGAATGCCGTCCATGACATGTCCGTTTAGTTTTGCGGGAGTTTCTCGATAAGAGTTTCTCAATTCAGGAGTTAAAGATCCGTGTAGGGCTTGGACTCGTACTTTCTGTAGCCGTTGGATTTCCAAGATGATCATTTCGTAAATCTGAAATGGCCATAGGCAAGTGTTACTGGACAGTGCGCAAAACCAGGCAGACTCCGCACTATGCAAGTAGCCAGAAAGCGACCCCAAGATAAATTTAGGAAAGCTGTGTTCAGGTGGAGGCTTCTGATGTTGGTAGCACTGCACACAACGACTGATCCTGTGTTGTGTTTCTCAGTCTTAGTCCCGCACTCCGCCATCATACATCCCAACAGCCTGCATCATCAAACTCCCAGCCCCCGGCGAGCCCCCCCACTCTCCTAGATCAAGACCGGGCTGATCGATCTGGGCACCAGGAAGAAGATCGGTGGGGACCCCGACGAAGGTTTTGACAGCGAGCCCTAAGTCTCTAAAGCCAGGAACGCCTCCGAATCCCGAAGCAGACCCGATACCCTGAAGCATCGGAACTGGAGCTTAGTTGGGTCTTAAGCCTTAGGTGTCCGGATGTGGGAGTTTTGGGGTTTCAGGGGGGCTAAGGGTGGCGTCCTTCTGTATGAGGGCGGGCAGTATGGAGTGTCAGAAACCATGCGCGGATGCTTCTCCTCTGGCCATATGTTGAACCCAAGCATAGATTTCAGGCACAAGTCCTGGAATAACAAGGTTTAGGAGCTTTGCCAGTCGAAAGCCAAAGTAGTGTCCAAGCTAAGTAAGGGTTGAGCTATCGTCGAAATCAACTTGAGTCTTCAGCAAGGATGGGGGCTATGGACCTCAGCCGAAGATCCAGAAAAAAAAAACCAAAAAAACTGAAAAAGGATGGTCCCAGAGCATCCTGTTGCGCGCCCTAATAGTAATAGCAATACTATTTTCGATCTATAAAAAAGCAAAAACAATTACATATTATATATATATAATTATTACCATCAACACCAACCTTAAACCCTGCATCCTATAATAAACCCTAATTTACTCCCAAGCCCCTCAACCTATCATAGGATAAACCCTGCAATTTTCGCTGTCGCGGCACCGGGGCGCCGGGTCGGCGCAGCCTGCGATCTGCAGAGACGTCGGGAACTGGAATCTCGGCTACGGATGAGCTTGAGGTTTGCAGGGCCGCTGTTTGGAGCGATTTGGCTGTTGAGGTTCCCCTTTAGGGTTTGGGGGCTAGGGGTTTAGGGGCTTAGGGTTTAGGGTTTAGGGGTACAAGCACTCCGGAAAATCAAGTCTGGCTCTCCTCTTCCAACTGGAACTCTCGACCGATTCTTTCAGCCCTACAAAGCCTGCTTCACATGGGAGCTTCAGAACATAAGGGACCCTGATATGCCTCCTAAACAAGATCTGTACCATCAGGAACCTCCAGGAAGAGGTATGATTTCGAGCACCTGCCCCAAACCCGGATAAGTTCTCCGAGATCCAAGGACAAAGAGCACCCTAAACCCCTCAGTGGATATAGGTGCAAGAAACCCCAAAGCATCCCATACATCTCCGTCTAAAGGGCCCCCCCAATATGACGAGGTATAGAGATGGCGAGCCCATCTCGCGAGGCGCCCCTCAGCTCGTAGGGCTGCAGTGATTGATGCGATTCCAGGATTACCCTGTTAGGGTTTAGGGTTTAGGGGGACATCCGGTGGTTTAGGGCTCCACTGTTGAAGGGTTGTGAAAGGGTTTGGACGGTTTTGTCGAGTTCCTACAAGGGGGAGGGTCCCCGGCTAAAAAACTCCCCATGGCGTAACGTATGGGCCCTGCTACTCAGAAGAGCGTTGCGGTGTGTACTATAGTACGTATGTAACTGTAAATATAAATGTAAATAAAGGTGGGTATGGATATAGAGATGGAGATAGATAGGTAGATAGATAGATACATGAGGACAATAAAGGGGTATTCAAATGAGGAATAAGCATTCCGAAGTCTGTGATCATCCCCCCCTTGCAGGACAGCTCGGATACTGAAACAGGCGGCACACCCGGGCCAGGTGGGAGCTCGGCAGCGGGTTTGAGTGATGGGATCCCGAGCCTAGAGTCAACCGACTATGCTAAACGAAGGGTTTGGCTGACAAGGAAGCCTCAGGGGACATCTAATATCTGACAGTGAGAATGGAGGCAATTTTGCCGTGCGAGGGAAGATATGCGAGCTCCAGACAGCCACGCAGCAAAACATAAACACGCAAAGAGACGCAGACATGCGCGCTGATATCTCTGCATGTCCATTTGGCATTCGATAGACGTGTCTGATCAACCAGTCAAACCCACCATGACTCACACTATACCCTAATTTTTCCCTTACCCCTATACATCCCTAGACCGTAAGCCCTGAATACCCTACGCCCCAAAAACCCTGAGACCAGCTGCAGGCAGCGAGGAATGGCCAGACGATGCATTGCAGGGCCGCAACAATCGCGATTGGTGCCGCTTCTGGGTTTGGGCGCTGCTGGTCAGGTGATTAGGGGTTGAAGGGTTTTATGGTTTAAGGTTGGTATAGCTTAAATCGGGCTTCGGGTTTAGAGTTTAGAGGTTTGAGTTTAGGGTTTTGGGCGCTGCAGGTCAGCATCTGTGGCGCATGCACGTCGAACCCTCAAGCCCTCAAGCCTTAATCCCAAGAGCCCAATTGTAAGCTCAAAGACCCTGAGCCTTACGGGGGAATGCTCGCTTGTGCAACTGAGGTTTTTGACGGCGCAGCTCCACCCAACACCTGGCCGCAACCACAAACCGGCACTGGTCCTTTGGAGCCGTGGCAGCGCTTTAAGATTTCAGAGTTTGGTTCAGAGGTTCAGGTGTTGGTGTTTCGGGGTTTCGGGTTTGGAGGCAAAGCGTTGAAGCTTTTGTTGAAGCCGTGATTGATGAGCGTCATTTTGGAGGTGGGTTTATGAGTTTCTGAGTTTCGTGCTGTAGGGCTGAGAGTTTTGGGGTCAGGGCTCTGGTCCAGCAAGGTCGAGGTGTAGGATTCCGTGTGCATAGACCAAGACCCCTAAAGCCCTGCGTAGCCTTTCAAAGGCACCAACAAGTATAATCTGAGCGGAGCTTTATTTGGGCTTTCACCATGGAGCTGCTACTAGTGGCTAAAGTGGGGCATCAAGTTTCACGGCTTAGCCAGTCAGTCAAGTCCTCAGCTCTAGCCGTAGAGGTCCCAAGACAGAGTAGCCTTGAAGCACACATCCATCTTCTCGTTGAGCGGGATTTGAATCACTGGAACCCAGGATCTGTGCCAGCATGTACCAGCTCATCATGGCCTGCGCCGTAGCAAGGCTTCAATCAAAGCTCCAAAAACGCTAAATCTCGGGATGTCTATTTGCTTTCATCTAAGGGGGATGCAGAGGTGTGGCAGATCCTTTTGTAAGTTGAAGGCGATTTGCAAGGTGAGGTACAGTTGTGGGAGGGTGTTCTGGTCTAGTCTAGCTGACATCCAAAAGGAGCTGCTTAGGTGATGGAAGGTTGCTGCAAGCTTGAAACCCACAACGGCTTCAGGGATCGATGCTTGAGAGAACCCTACACCCAATGCCAATCCCCTAAAAAAGCCCTACGTACAAAACCCCTACTACACCAAGTCTCAAGCCATGGCACTTCGAAGGCTGGTTAGGACCAATTGCCTGTGCAAAAATGATTGGCTATTCAAGCACACCACGCATAGGTCTCAGAAGGATATTGCCCTGGGTATAGCCTTCACAGATCTTTCGTTGAGACCCGAACGCTGGACCCTAAGCTCTTGTCCGTGAACCCGGCAACTCTAACCTCCGAAGCCATGACTAGCAGGCCTAAATCCAGAACCCTGCAAAAATTCTAAGGCTCTGGGTTCCCTGAAAGTCGACATCCTGAACTCCGAAGCTTATGATAACGCCTGGAACCCTGAACCCTGAATCCCAAGATGGCACAGACTTGGTCTGAGGTAGTCTTCCTTTTGGTCCTGGACAGCACGACCCAGGTTGGAAAGGGTAAGGGCGACTTTGGGGCCATTTTTTTGGGAGGTTTGGGTTGAGGAGTTAGGATTGCAGATCAAGGGTTGAGGGTGCTTAGTTTTACCATTTAGAGTTCAGGGTGCAAAAGTTCAGGTTTGAGGGTTACTTGAGGTGCAAGAGTCCTTGCAAAGGACCGCAGGCTATTGAGGCTTCAAGGCAGTCGCGGCTAGTCCGAGAAAGGCAACTTTGCGGGGCCCAGGACACAGGCCAAGCCCAACAAGCACGCACTCCCAAAATCTCGCAAACTGCCTAAACGAGTCTGATCACTGAACCGCAGACGCCAAAGCCCAAAACCAGGGCACAGCCGTGTGCCATGTCAGGTCACTGTGACTACAGACGCTTACTGGTGGTGTGAGCTTGCTCGGGCCTGAGACAGGGAAGATGGCCAGATCCCCCCTTCCGGGTTTCTCGTGAAGGAATGGAGCTTAAGGTGCATAATAAGCAAATCACATTGTTTACGATAGATCTGTATTATGGTGGCTTATATTCAGTTCCAGCTTCCCCTGACTCCAGCTCCCTTGACACACCCTCCTGTCTGCACATCAAAAACTCCTAGTCCAAAGACCCATGGCAGAGGAGAGTTTCATACAGCTCAAGCGCTGCTGTCATGTTTGGATGCACCAAAATGCTCGGCGTCGTCTGGAGTTTCAAGCCTTGGTGCCTGTACGTTCTGCCTTGTTCTCACCGGCCCCCGTCGGGTTGATGCTGTTCTGATTTAAAAATCCGTTTTGCTATTGGTGCCCGAATTCAAGCTGGTGCTGTTGCTCCAGCTGCATGATCTCGATGCTAAAGCTTTGGAAGTAAATCAATTGCGCCATGGATCACGGCGCCAAGCCCCGCAAGGCATGCGCATCCCCAGCTGGCTCAATGTTCGTCTTAGCTGTTGCTTTGGGGCTTCTGCGTTTTACTTTGCAAGTCTGGGGTTCAAGGCGTCAGGTTTAGGGTTTCGGGTTTGCGGTTTAGTTTGAAGCACAACATCTGGTCAGCTGGCCGACGGCCCTAAACTCTGGGGCCATGAGCCCTTTACTCTGAATCTCCTTCCCGAACGCCCTGTAGCCCAAAGCCTAAACCCTGATAACACCCATGTGTTTTAGTATACGGCCCTGGCAGAAGACGTATAGAACACCGACCCAAGGTGCTGACATTCGTTTGGAGTATAGAATATCTGCTCCGCCTCTGGAGCTGCGTGGAGGAGCGCTCGATGCTATGGTTTGCATCAACCGTAGGGATGTGGGGCTTGGAGTAGAGTCGAGGGATTTCGTGCTTATTGGGATGATGGTTTCCTACATTGAGTCTTGATGTTGCTAACGGTCGGTCCTCGTATCGTTTACAGGTCGAGGGCATGATCAGTGGGACTGCGCTAGGGGCTCCACAGATATTTCGGGTCGCGAGCACTTTGCGGCCCAGGGTTACAGCTCCACTTGTTTCGGATAGACCTGTGGACACTTGTGTCACGCCTTTCGGCTCCCGTATATCCGGGACCTTAAGAAATAGTACTGGTAGTGATTATTCAGGCCGCTAGATCAGAGGCTTATCCCGAGGCAAGGAATCGAACAGCTTTCATCTCCACCAGCCCAAACCCCCTCAGTTGGAAGGCAGCAAGCCAGCAATGCCAAACCTTCAAGCCTTAACCCTAAACGCCAAACCCCTAAACCCTAAACCCGAAACTTAACCCCTAAGGCCTCGAACCTGAAAGCCTTCAGTTTGAGAGCCCGAAACCCCACTGCCCCAACCCTGAAGGGCTTGAACCCAAAAGCCTTAACTCAAACCCTGTAGCCCCAAAGCCGTGAACCCACAAGCCCGACCCTAGAACCCCAACCCATTTCTCCTGAACCTTAACCTTCGCACCCGGAAGCCCAAAGCCTTAAACCAAGAAGCCCAAACCACAAAAAATCCCAAAAATTCTGAATGTATCTAAATCTTCAATGCCTAAAGCCCCTCAACCATAAAGCTTAATTACTGTCAACTCCGTAAAGCGTAAGCCCTAAACCCTGTAAAGCCTCACGCAGAATTCGGCGATCGTGCCCGCCTCCGACCTTCGCCGCTGCGGTGTCACGCGGTCGCGATTTTTGGGTTTTAGGGCTTAGGGCAAAGTTTAGGGTTTTAGGGTTTCGGGGTTTAGGGCTTCGGGGTTTAGGGTTATTGGGCTTTGGGTTTTGGGGTTCTTGGACTTTTGGGTTCAGGGCTTTTGGGAGGGCTTCCGGACTTTGGGGTCTATGGTTTAGCTTTGGGTGTTTTGGGTTTGCTTTGGTTTTAGGAGTTTGGGGCTTTAGGGCTTTAGGGTTTTTGGGCTTAGGGAGGGTTTATAGGGTCTGGGGTGGGGTTGGCAGGTGACCTCATGTGTTCTAGGTTTTCTGGTCCACGGCGCCTTGGGGTTGTGTGGGGACGGGTATCTGGGCCTGGGGATCCAGAGGCGCGTTCGTTGTGGATGTTGAATGGTGGAGTCAGGTCCATATCCCTTTTGCCGTAGGAGGAGATCCCATAGTAAGCCACCGATTTAGGGCAGCACACACTCGCCTCGGTAGGAACCGAGGTTTGGCCTGATTTTCCGGGTTAAGCGTGCAGTTTGGCATGAGTTGCCGGTTTCAATGGATGTTGGCGGCGAGTGTGGCGTAGTTTCTTGCTATCTGGAAATTCCTTTTCCGTGAATCTGAAATCCGAAAGCCCTGACAAAGACCGTGACAATGACTGACGACTCTGCTTCAAAATGCTTTGCGGGTATTTTGCGTGGGTGGCTTTTAGAGGTACCTTGGGGTGTGAGACCTCGTTGCAAGGTGGTATGTTGGATGTTGACGAGCTTTGTTAATCGAGACTCGAGGCCTCAAACCTCACATACTCAGGCCCCTCAAAGAAACCCTTACAGGAACTCTTGACGGAACGGTTCCTTATGGATTGTTCTTACCTTAGAGGTTTTGAGGTTTTTGGGTTTAGGGTGAGTCCATTCGGGGATTGCTGCTCGCCACGCAGGTGAGGGTCAAGGCCGCTCTCCACCCACTGATGCTGGTGGACCTCGTGCCGGAATCTCAGAGTGCAGCCTTCATGGTCTCTGGGGAGTTGAAACTGGAGCCTCTTAGGTTCAAGGGCTTCAGCGCATTTCGAGGGCTCGGGCTCGAGATGGCTCGAGGCTCTAGGGTCAGGATTTAGTAGCGTTGCAGCACATGAAGGAATGCCGAAGTCCCTTGTCATAAAGTACACCGGCAGGCCGTTTGCAGAAGGGACCCCGACCATCGAACAGTACCCCAACTGAAAGTGTTAATGATCCTCATAATATAGGGGCTAGAAGGCTTACTCACATGTGTATTCTTCCGCAGCATTCCTGCTGAGAGTTGTATACTCTACCCGATAATTGTCTAGCCCCCGATGTCAAATTCAATTTTGGATGCTGAGGCTAAGAAGTTGAAAGATGAAGCACGAGAGCCCTATGTTAAGCAACGCCCTGAAGCTCTACTCTAAGCCCCAACACCCTTGAGGCGCGCAAACCTCAAGCACGAAAGCCCTTGTATAGTACGTACATATATATATATATACATACACACATATACATATACATATATATATATATATATATACATATGTATGTATGTAGGTATAACATATATATATATATGTATGTATGTAGGCATGCAGCCCAAGCCCTTAACCCTAAACCCTGAACTCCAAAGTCGCAGAGCTCCCCTATTACACACGGTGTGAGGTCTCTGGCGTCTCTGGTGATCGACGCTCACTCGCACACAGAGACACATCCCGGGCAGGTATCCTGTTTGATATGTATATACCCATAGGCTCCATTGTAGTTCCTTTTTGTAGTTTATCTCTAGGATCCTATAAGGTAACCCCAAAAAGGAACTACAATGGAGCCTATGGCTAAATAAGGGAATAACTGCATATGTGTGTGTGTATATATATATGTGTGTATATATATATATATATTTGTGTGTGTATACATAATATAGCAACATCATATGATTTGCACAGATTTGCTCGTATGCGTTTTCTGCATATGCATATCTCTCTGTACCTCATGCAGTCATACAGATGCACCATGCATACACATACATACACGCATGCATACAGAAATATACACTTGCACACGCGCTTGCATGACGGACATACGTACGCAATATACTCACGTACCTACATGATGAGAATGTACCCACTACTATACACACATACACCGATAATTACATCATCTATGCATACGTATATCGACGTACCTACATGCCCAAGAATCGATAACCTGGAGCCCTCGCACCACACCGCCCTAACGCGTAAGGATCTACAGATCGATTCTAATCAGCTGCGTGGCTTCGGTGCCCTTCGCCACCTGCCATGAGAAAGTAACTTCGGGCTCAAGAGGGTTCAATGCCCAGTTGTTTTGTGGAGCTTGCAGGAACGTCAGGCTCAGAACATGCAAGCTGAAAGCCTCAGAGATGAAATCTTCCTATGCAGTCGCCGTATTTTTTTTGTCTAGGCATGGTGTATGGTGGGATCAGTGCACAGCAACGTTTCCAAACTGACAAGACCAGCACAGTGTCTTCACATCCGTGGATGCTCCTGGTTTGAACCAAAATGGCCCCATCGGTCACAGCTGCTAATCCACAACGCTTGCATGTGGTGCAAGTCCCGACTGCTGGAGCCTCCAGAGCCTGTTTTTGTAAGCACAATAATCGGAATAAGATTTGGTATAGTCTAGATCAATATACCTATAAGCAACTCCTAAAACCCTAGTCTAATTACTACAGTTATATGGTCCCTACATTCGACCGGAAAGCTAGAGTCTGGCCCGCGGGAACAGGAGCAGACAGAAATCTCATAGGAAGCGTCGGTGTGTAGGTACAACCTTTCAAGGCACAAAGGTAGCGGCAGTTTCACTACCACCATCGCTTCAAGTCGGGGAAGAAATTCCTCGCGTCTGCCAGGCTTCTGAACCCTAAGGACCCTAAGCCTTAAACCCTAGCAAGACGGAGCTGTCTTCGAAGAAACGGCAGTCTTGTGGAGTTTTGCTGGCCATGGTCTTGCCAGAAAGGGCCTGTTAAAGCCTTTTTGCAACTACCATAACTTACTTTTTTATGGGTTCTTATTATAAACCCTCATATAGACTTTATAGGGACCCCACTCCAAAGTAGGTTTTACTAGTTCAAGGTAAGCTAACACGCTAGGATGAATAGATCCCACAAGGCATGCTCAGAGTCTTCACCTTGCTTCGCCTGGAGCGGGTATCCCGGCCTTACCTTCCCGAGTTTGTCGGTTCAGGGTTTGGGGTTTAGGAGTTTAGGGGTTTAGGGTTTAAGGTTCAGCTTCAGTGCTCAGGGTTTTTGAGAGTTGGGCACACGCTTCGGGTTTGAGTTATAAGGGCCTAAGACTGAGAGGGATGGTTGCGCAGCATCCTACATGTATGCATCGGGGGTTCAGGGTTGAATCAAATAACCGGCTTGTCACGACATTTCCCTTTTTTCGCTTAACAATATGCCCTGACACACTCCCTAGCCTCAAACCCCTGCATCCCAAATCCGGAACCCAGAACCATCCTTGCCGCAGCCGGGTTTTTCGAGGCACTTTGCGCAATTTTGGGTTCTTGGGGTGGTGGAGTGACTCACGATCTCCATATTGAAGCCCATTGATCATCAGCTCTCTTACTAAGGAGCACCTTCCTGATTTCTCTTTCTATTTGGGGCTTCCTTCTGTTGGCTTGTGCTTGATCTCTGGAGATGGCTGCAGGGTTTAAGCCTTAAGCCCCGACTTCTCGAGCAATTGCTGTGCTGAAGCAAGGACTGGAGAATCTGCAATCCTTTGATACAAGTGCTGGTGAAAGAGGCAAGGTTTCGGATTTAGGGTTTGGGGCCCTACAAGAAAGCCCCAAACCGATTCTCCGCAACCACACCCGCTTGTCATCACAGCGGTGAAGCAAAGTGCCAGCATAATCCTTATCCTGCCGCTCCATCCATACCTTTCGTCTCCATTGTAGGTCCTTTTTAGGGTTCGCTATAGGATCCTTAATATATGATTGGTTAGACCAAGCAAAGGAACTGCAATGAACACTATAGGTAGTCTCCCTCTTTCTAAGGATTCTATTGGACTATTGTCAAACTTTTACGCAGCTTGTTTAGTCCACCTTACACCTGTCGGGGCAATCTGCTTAGTATGGCCGGCCCGAAGTCGGCACTTTCGTCTCTGTCGGGGTGGCTTGGGGTTCTGGATTTCAGGTTCAGGGTTTAGGGTGTATGGTTTAGGGTTCGGGGTTTAGGGCTGAGGACTTAGGGTCCAGGGTTTGCGGGTTGCAAGAGGCTTAGGGTTTGCAGTCTGGGGTTTAGTCGGAGTTCGCCTTTAGGGGGGTTCTTCGGGCTCGGGGTGCTCCTTCGTTCGGGCACTCACATTAATTTGGTGCTGTTCGGCTGGCTTGAGCCTCGGGGTGGTAGTATGGGATTGAGGCTTCAGCTGTTCTGCTTCGTACTCAGCAGAATGGCTTTTGGGGGCCTGGTAGCCGTAGACTCTCACGCACCCCGTGCAGCCCAAACCCGCTGACCCACTCAACACTCCCCCATCCCAAGACTAAGCTCCAACATCATGAAGGGGCTTCGTGATGAGAATGGGGCTAGGGGTCTATTAGATTTATTAGATGGTCGTGATATGAGAGACTACCAGCGGACGTTCTTACCAATCCTTCCGTCTCCATTAGAATCTTAGAAGCCCGCAGCCCAGAAACATCGAACCCTAAACCCGCAAACTCCAGCCCGAACCACCAAACAAGCACTAATTCCTAGAGAACCCTAAAGACGGGCTGCCAACTGCCCCCAGTCGAAGCTTTTGGGCGGTGCCGTCGCCATCGCCCTTACACTGCTTGTTTGTGTGTCGGCCCCTAGGCACGCTCTTTCGGCGGTAGGTTATTGGTTGCGGCTGAAAGCTTGAAGGGTTCAGGGCTTGCGGCTTCAAGAGGTTTCAGATTTCGACGTTGAGGCTTTCTGGTTCAGGGTTTATTATCATTTTGGGCTGAGGGTGTTGGCATAAGGGCTTTTGGTATGGGTTTTTGACACTCCAGTTTTACTATCATTATACTCGTATTGCCATTATTCCGTGGAGCTTGCGGCAGTTGTCGTTTACCATTCACATAGGTAGTAGAGAACTAGGTCAAAATTTTGTGCAGGAGCTTACCTTATCCCGTTTACAGTTGCCAAAGGAGCGGGGGAGGGAGGGGGCCCGCGCCACACGCGAATGATTGATTTAGAATCACCACAAGGTCCCGGCAGCATTGTGTAAGGTGCGGGGGGCGGGGTGCCACCTTTGGTCTTCCCCCGCCCACCTCAAGGTCCATCCTGGTCCATCTGTTTAAGCGACATGGCAACTTGCGTTTTGTGCGTGGCCGAGTGCAGGTTTCACGTCTGACCCCTCAGTAATTAGCGAAGCTGCCACCAGGACAGATCGAAGCTGCTCGTACATGGCCGAGATATTGCCTATGCAGGGACTCTCCGACGCGCAATGAGGTCAGTCAAGGCACTGCGATACGACAAGGGTGTATCTTTATGTGGGCCAGTGCGAAACCGAATAATGCTATCATCTTGCAGGTTTAAGCTTCATGGCACTACACACGTGCTTGCATCGACGCTGTCCGAGCTCTGGCCACTCTGGTTCCTTGTTTACCCTAGCTTTCGTGGCCTCTGCTCATAAGTTACTAGTACTACTCTTGTTTTCTTTTGTTATGGGTTGAGGGTCGCCCTTGAGGGAGCTAGTGTGGGACGCCTGGAGACGGCCGGTCTAGGCTATCATTTTGGTCCGATGACTCCCTGAGCAGCACACATGCAAGAAAGGGTTTAGGGGTTCCGGGCCGTTTAGGGCATGGGTTTCAGCCAGTGTCTCCCTCTTTCTCGCCCTGTGAGCCATGACTTCTTATAGCGCTTTAGAGCAGATTCTTGAGAGTCGGTATGGGATTTGTTCAAAGCCACGAGCTGAAGCTTCTGAGATGTGTATGAAGCCCAAGTTGACCTCCGGTTAAATCCAGCACCACTCCAGTTCCATTTTTTCGGAGCCGAGGTTATCATGTTCTATGTCGAAGCCCCCGAGAATCCCAAGTTTGGTGGGGCGCCCAGCATGTTCTTCCGGCGCAGAGGTTCTGTTCGGAGCCACTTCAGGAACGAATCTGTGTCGCAGACGAACCATTGCCAAACCAGGCAGCGTTGCAGACTGCCTCTGGTGGGGGACCACTGCCCTCACCACTGCAGCGTGGCAGCAGTTGCACTCACATGCGGAATCCTACGATATATGAGTTCACTACCATTTCAGCATGTGCTTTGGGTTGGGCTGAAATTTGATGCCTAAGATATCCCGGAGCCCTCTGAGTAACGACGGCAAGCCGTGGGCCTGCAGCCCAACCCTAAATCCTAACCCCGAAACCTCACGTTGAACCTTGCTTCTCAGGTAGGTTACGGCGATCTGTACCCTGAAAGTCCTATGGGTCGACTGGTCGCAAGCATCACGGCCTTCCTAGGCCGGGGGTCCAGGAAGGGTTTCGGGCTTCAGGGTGTTGGGGGTTTTTTATTGCTTAGGTTGTCTTGTTTCGAGGTTTGCGGTTTTGGGCTTGGGAAAACGGCTGTGTTCAGGGAAGCCACTTCTTTTTTCTCCTGGAAGGTATACTTCCCCAAGCAGTGTGTTCGAGGAAGATGATCTGGGTTTCGGGTTCAGGCTCCTTGAGTACAGGCAGACCCGGGGCTTTGGGGAAGTCGGTTTTTTTTGAGGTTTCACGCAGGGCTCAGGAGAGCAACCTCGGGCAAGTATTGTCGGTGAGAACCGTCCAGATTCCAGGAGCCATGAACCCTAACACTGAAATCTCGGACATCTAAAGCCTCAACTCATAAGTTCCTGTACATGCTCACGTCTGTGGAAATCCCGATCGAGCCGTAGCCTTATTGACTTCTTCCCTCCCGCGAAGTTCCTGACAGCAATAGCTACCAAGCAGCTCGACAGGGTTGAAAGCTTCTAATCCGAGCCTGTCGCCTTGCTCCTAAACCCCTTTCAAGCTTAGATTTTAGAATATACACGCAATGCCTTGCAGTCCAGGCTTCAAGATTTTTGCACAGAACATACCCCTTGGCACAGGAATCGGCTTATTTGCGTTGCCAGGCGAGCCCTCCGCTTCAGGGCTGGGCTTTATGGATTCGGCCTTCTTAGAAAGGCGTACTACGGGTTGAGAACGATGGGGTAGGGTTGGATTCATAAGGCTGATGACTGTAGCATTTAGGGTGTCGAGATTACGGTTTCGGATTTGTCCTACCTGCCTCAAGATTGCTTTTCAGGTGAAGAGCTTGAGAATGAACAGCTCTAGATTTTGACTCCGAGATGTTGTCAGCGCAGGCATCAACTTTTCGCGGCGCGTGTTGTTCGGAGCGTAACATGTTTGGTTCGGGATGTAGTTTTGGAAGTTTTGCTATTCCCATGATGTGGGACTCCATTCTAGGTGGGGGCAGTCTGTTGTCAGTTCAGCTGGTTTTTGAAATGTAGATTCCACGTCGGCATGTGTGTTTTCGAGGTTGTAGTGGAGCTAGAAAACTCAGTGTCGGTTGAGATGCAAACCCTAAGAAGGTTTAGAGTTTAGGGTAAGGCTCAGCATCTTTTGCTCCGGCGTTAAGGGCGACAACTTCGGTGAAAGCCTCGAGCGTCCCTGAAGCTTCAGGCTTTCGGGCTCAGGGCATAGCCTAAGCCTGGAAGTCCCGCAGCCAGAAATGACACCCTTCAAAGCAGACCAAGACAAGCCACAATACCTCAAATCCTTAGGGGTTAGGGTGTGGGGCTTTGGGGGGTAGCACTGTAACATACCATGACCATGAGCGAGCCACAACATACCCCTAAACCCCTGCTAGTCTCCGAGCTCCCCATATCTCCGCGGCTCAGCCCCTAAGCCCCAAACCCTGAGCCGGGTTTAGGGTCTAGGGTTTAAATTGAGGGCTCTCGTCCCTCATCCTTATATAGGCCTTACGAGAAAGCGCTTTCAAAGACAAGGCTCTAGACCTTATGCCCCGAAGAACCCCGCCCCCGCACTTCCCCGTGTATCGGCAAACCTTCGTCAGCTGGTATCATCACCACTGGCTTCCGACTGGAAGAGGAGCGTCGGCTTCACAGGAAGTGCGGGCGCCCAGCTTCTTTGGTGCTTAGAGGACTGTAGGGTTTTCAGGCTTTACATCTGCTCAGCTTCAATCAGGAACCGTACTGATTTCAGGTCGTTCTTGCGATGCTCAGCTTGGCGGATGCCCCCAAAGCACATCTGTGCTAGCTGTCGACCTACTGGTAGTAGCATAGCCCCGGCTGCGATCGAAGTTCTATAGAGTCCGGGCTTTGGTGCTCCTGTGTTCTACGGTCTTGTGTTGAGGACTGGAGCTTGGGGATCTTTCCACATTGCGATGACTCCAATGGCTTGTTGGTCGAAGTGCGATCCTGTTAATTGTTTAGGGTTTATAAGGGTTCAGGGATCCTGTGTAGAACTGCAGGCTCTCTGTGCCTCTGGACGACGGGTCCCCTGCCGGCGAGACAGACGCGCGGCTGCAATGTTGACGAACAGTTTGAAGTCCCCGTTAACTTGACTCCACTGGCAACCTGAAGACTGCCTACTGGATGGGCTAAACGTGTATACATATATATATATACTATATACGGTCATATATATGTATATATATATATATTTATTTATTTATTTGTTTATAGAGATACATACATGCATGTATATATACACGCTTAAAAGTAGGGGCGAGGGTTTAGGGTTAGAGGTTTAGGGGGTTATAGGCTGAAGGACCAGGGCTTGCCGCGCTGCATTTTTGAGAAGCACTTTGGGTCCAGCCTCAGCAAGACACCCCAAGAGGGGTACTGAGGACTTCTTCTCCTGCTGAAAGGTGAGTCCTTCTGTTTATGGTTTAAGATTCAGAGCACTCTTTAGTTTGTGCTTCATGTGGGGTTTGAGGGAGACACTCTTGTGGAGAGTTCTTTGCATGTGCACGCATGGCCTATCGAGATGAAGGTCTGGCAACCGACCATTCACAACAGCAGCGTCAATGGCACTCGTTGTCAGACGGCATAGACATGGTGTGCCTTTACAAGCCCCAGAGAAGTCTTGGTTGTGTGAGTTATTGTCTCCATGCCTGCAACGCCTTGCCGATTCTCATCAACCTTCATCAGTAAATCGTGCGCAGGTATACCCACTGCCTGTCCATGCTAGTTTTGGTCTCCAGGCCCCACCTTTGTTCGGCACCCCGGGGCCCAGACCATCTTAAATCAAGATTGGAGCAAGTAGTTCAGAACGGACCCTGATGAGAACAACCCAGCTGTTTTCAGAAAAGGAGTTTCAGCTGGAGCTTCTGCGCAGCATACAGCGCCTGGAGAGAAAACTGGAGGGGCTGGAAGGCAAGCTGCAGGACATCATCTGATTATGTTGCTTGCTCGATGGCCGTCGGGGGTTTACTAGAAGCCCCAAACTAAGTAAGACCTTATTATACAAAGTCCAGCCGGAAGCCATGAGAGATTTCTGGAGCATGAGACTACAACCTGACGGCTCCGGTGCTGCGGAGCTTTGCACATGCATGCCATGCAGGGGGTACAAGTACAGGCTACAGTGTAAAAATAGCCTCCACCCGAACAGGACCTAATCCAGTATTAGTAAGATGCCGAGGGTCGATCAGCATGCCTCTCGTCGAGTTCAGTCGAGGCATAACCTGACGAGACCCGAGGTTGCCGAGGGTTTAGGGGTTTTTAGGGTTATTCGGTGTGTGGCCTAGGACTTGAGATTAATGCTTAGCTTGGAGGTTATTGAAATCGAAGACTTACAGATGAACTTTGTGCTGCTCACCGTGCAGGACGTGCATGGCGAGATTCAGAGTCTGCGTGTCGAACGAGACCGCCACAAGCCCTAGGAGAAAAGCAAGACGGGTGCTTCAGGTTTTGCATTAAAGTCACTAAATCTGGCTTGATGAGTGAGGCTTACCTCTGCTCTGCAACCTCCCAGACACGACATTGACATCGCCAGGTTTAGCGTAGGGTCGGACTTGAAACGAATTCACTGAATTTTGTGCCCCCTCCACTTCGACAATCTGCAGGACACTAACCTTTGTCCACCATTTGCCCTATAACTTAGTCGCAGACCCAGGCGTAGTCTCGTAGAGCTATCCTCACCCATGTCATGTTCATTTCATGTTTCGCGGGCGCTGCTGGTTTAATGTGAGCCCTCACTGCTGAGGAACCACCAGGGAGGTTTGTGAGATGTTCTATGCACTTGCAGCTGCCTCGGAGGGAGTTGCTTGCATGGGCGAGCAGTAGAGGTCGCATGCCACTGCATACCTTGCTAGCCATGGTACATTTTAGATTGGTTGCATGTTGACCCTTCATGTACAAACACCTTTGCTAACACAGGTACAAGGGCACGAATATCAAGATTGTTGGGGTGGAATAGTTTGTCGATGGCTTGCGCTTGGGAGATGGTTCGTAGCCCGTATGGACAGGTCTAGCTCTGACACATCATGGTCCCGAGGCCTAGACCCTAGACACAAACCCCATAAAGCCTAACTTCCGCACGGCTTCTCAGTTGGGAGCCCACAAGCTGGAGAGTGACGTCTTCTCGGTCCTGCGGCCCGGATCTCTGCTTGGGTGACTTCAGGTTTTAGCATCCAGTACTGAGCTACGAATCTGCTTTAGGGTGGGGTGTATCTACGGTTCTTTGCGGATTCAATTATCAGGATTTTTGGTGCCTGGACTGATGCAGGATGCTGCTAGTCGGTATCTAACTGCGATGTACCCCAGAACCCTGTCCTAACTATTGCCCGTGTACTAGATTGGCCGCAACCAGCAACAGGCTGTGGGAGTGGTTCATCGCCCTATCCAACGAGGAGCCGAATCGCTTGGGGCGGAAGTGCGCTTCTGGGGTGTTAAATGTAGGCCAGGTGATTGAATCGTCGCTGGTCCTTTTGTGTTTTTTGCTGTGCTTGCGTGCTTTGAGAACGACTGTGCTTCGGTCATGTCCACAGCAGTTTCCATTTAGAAACCGGGGACCCGAGCTGAACCCCTGAAGCCGAAATCCACATCTTGCTTTAAAGGACCTGAGCAGCGCTGACAAGTCCTGGACCCAGCAGAGTCAGATCACCGGGCCCCCGAGTATTTTCAAGACTTAGTAACGCGGTTTAGGGTTCAGGGTGTAGGGAGCACGAAACCCTATCTCCAAAGCTTAGAAGTAAGAAAGACCGTGGAACCGCAATTTCACCAAGCATCACGCTTCGCTCGGAAGATGTAGTCTTAACTTTTGCTCCGTTCAAGGATCGACCCGTGTGGAAACGGCGCTCCGATGAGGGGATGGGTAGCAGGAATAGATACCGCATGTAGGATTTGGGGTTTAGGGTTCAGGGTATTATATGTACATCAATTACCGCCATACCGTGCCTCAGTTTTAACCGTCGAAGCCAACACGGAAACCGAAATGGGCGTGTTATTGTAGACTGCCCCGTTGTGGTTTCCATGCTAGTTTGAAGGGGCGGATGAATACAAAGCCTCAGACTTCCTATGCACTAACCGCATGTCATCCCACGGTACAAGAGCCCAGACCGTCGCCCCTTTGAGGCCCATAGACAAAGCCTTAAACCTGAAACCCTCACTCCTTCAACCCGGCGCTTCTTAGGCCTTACAAGCCCTGAACAGGAAGACACCGAAGCCTTAACCCGTAAACCCTCAACCCTCCACGTCGAACCGCTTCCGCTCAGGCTCGTGCCCCTTAACCTCATGACCCTGAAACCCTAGACCCTGAACCAAGGTATAAGGGACTGGAGGAGACCGCCCGTGATTATGTCGCTGCCTGCCCACGATACCTGGGCCGCACTCCAAGCTACATCGAGTTCGGAGAGGCTGGTTTGGGGCTTCGGTTTAGGGTTTAGGGTTTAAAGTTCTTGGAGTTTAGGGTTGAGGGTTTCGGGGCTTAAGGCTTTAGGACTTTAGGGTTTAAGGGCTAGAATTATAGGACGTTTGGATTTCAGGATATGTTTACATGCTTCTCGGATAAACCCTACTGTGTTGAAGCCCTCCCCCGAAAATTCTAGATCCCAGTTCTTGGAAGTTCCAAAATCTCGCACCCTAAGTCTAAACCCTAAAGGCCCTAAATGCAAAACCCTGAACCCAAAACCTTAAGATTTCACATTTTCTAAACCCTAATAAACCTAAACCCTAAACCCTGAACCCAAAACCAAAAAAGATTTCTCCCTGGCCAGATGGACCCTGACGAGTGCGACAAGGATGTCCCTGGTCCCTACCTCCGCGTGCGCTTCGAAGAGCCTGGAGCCGACAGGGACCGCTAAAGGGTGCCACTAGGGGTTCCTGAGAGGTTTAGGGTTTCGGGTTTAGGCTTTAGGGTTTACTGGGGTTAGGGTTTCGGGTTTCGGGGTTAGGGTTTACAAGGTTTAGGGTTTAGGGTTTACAGGGTTTAGGGTTTCGGGTTTAGGGCTTCGGGCTTCGGGGTTAGGGTTTAGGGTTTGGGGCTAAGGGTTGAAGGGTTCCTTTAAGGGGTCCTTCAAGGGTGCTGGGGTTCCTTTGAGGGTCTTTTCAGTGTTCCTTTAGGGTGCGTCTGCACAAGACAGGGGCCTGAACATGTAACGTAGCATGAAAGTATCAAGATTCCTTAGGTTTCTCAGTCTGTCGCATAGTATAGACCCAATCTCTTACTCTGATTATTGGTTGTCATTGTGGAGGGACTATGTCACAATAACTTTCAGGGCCATGCTTAGGAACGGAATGATGCATTGCAATAAGATATACGCATAGAGGGTTATGAATCATGCCATTTTGTTTCGGAGTCTATCTTCTGCCCAAGGTGATTCTGTATGTCTGGGGGTGGTGGGGCGGGGGGTAGGATTTTGCCTTCTCGCATTAAGACCTTGGGCATGTTGGAGATGCTTCGACTGCTGTTGTCAGGGGGCGATGCAACGGCTGCAACTTCGGTTGGAAGTTCGAGTTTCGGAGGCTATTGCACCACCTCCTAGCCCCAACAGCCCGATGCTGCCAACCCGAAGCTGAAGACCATACAGTGGAAACGGCGAGACTGTCAGCCAATCGAAGCTTTATAAGCTTTGAAAGGGGATATCACGGTAAATCTCGCAGAGTCTCTCTATAGGTCAGATGATGGCATCTACCGTTGGAGACAGAACATCGCGGAGGCCGATCCTGTATCTATCTAGGCGACGAGATGCTTCTGAAGGTTTCGAGATATATTGCTTGATTGGTTTGTTTTTAGATCGCTGGGACATCTGACATGAGGATGAGACAAGTACAGCATGTTGTTGGGTGTTGGAGACTGCAGGCATGGCCTGGATTTGAAGATTTCGCACTGTAGTCCGTACATTCATGTCACTGCTAGCAACACGTTCGGGATGAAGATCGTGTCTTTTGTGTTCATCACTGAATGGTGAAGTGGCAGCGATTGCGCTTGCACACAGGTGCCTTGAAACGGGTAGCTTGGAGTCTTTCATGCGGCACTCCCCGAGGATAACTGTCGCGACCTGCCTCGACGGACGCATTGAGTTCTCAGAGTGTGGTTACCTTGGCCAAGAACCCAAACCCTCAGCCCGAAACCCCAACTCCTATCCCTGAAACAAGAATGGTCGAATCGAAGCGTTCAAACCCTGAACCCATTGGCAGAGCCCTCAAACCTTCAACCCTCAAAGCCCTAAGACACCCCAGACCCTACAAGCGCCTCTGCACAGGAGAAGAGGCCCGAGATCAACGACTCTTGGAGGAAACGGGAACGGGGCTCTGATGGTTCTTGGCTCGTGCACTGGTCATGCAAAGGGGTACCTTGATGTGTTGGGTAGTCCAGAAATCCCCTGCCAGTTTCTGACTGTATTACCCTAAACCCTGAATCCTAAACCCTAAACCTAAACCCTAAAACCTAAACCCTAAATCGTAAACCCTGAACCCTAAAACCTAAACCATTGCACATTAAAAAAACCCTAAACACTAAAACCTTAACCCTAAACTCTAAAACCTAAGCCCTAAACTCTAAAACCTAGTTCTGTCATACAAGGCCTTCGATTCCTGGGCTGTGGAGGGAGCGCCAGGATGGCCCCCCGCGCTCGCCCTTCCCAAGATTTCCCTATACCCCCTTGTTTCGCAAGAACCCCCTCAGGGTTTAGGGTTTAGGGTTTACGGCCGTTTAGGGTTTATAGTTTAGGGTTTAGTGTGTGTGTGTGTGTGACCAAGCTGTTTGGGGAATAAACACAACCCTGCAAGAAAGAGCCACTGTAGTTCACAAGCCCGCAAGTGGTGACAGGCCCTTACCCTACGACTACCTGTCTTGCACCTTCTGCAGCCCGCGTGGAGCTTGGCTGGCTCGGAGTTTCCGGCAGTTTGGGCTTTGGGTTTTTTTGGTTCTGGGGTTGGGATTTTGGGGTTTCGGTTTCGCATGTTGGATGTAAACTTTACGTTCAGATCTTATTCAGGGATTTTAGAGGGCGCCGGGTTTTGCGTGTTGAATGTTCGGTCAGCCGCTGCTTCGAGTCGAGAGACGGAAAAGGAGGTCCACTCGAAGGAAAACGCGAAACCCTGGAGCCTTGAGCCCTAAACCCAAAACCCCAAACCAGGCTCTAAATCTTCAGTTCCAAAGGCACCTTTTCCGAAGAAGGGACAAAGAAACCAGCCTCCTTGACCCTAAACCTCAAGCCCTAGCTCCCTGTCGCAGGGCCTAGTTCGCCGGGCGTCTCGATTTTGCAGGTTCGTCCTCGAACTTTTTCACATGAAGGTGTAGGGTTCCAGGTCTTAGACAATCTGGGCCCTGAGTGTAGGCTCCCTAGCACAATCTCGATACCGGGGTTTGTTTTTGGGGATTCTGTGAGAGGGTGATGGGTTTCGGGTTTTGGGCAGGTTTAGGGCTTTGAGGAAGTAC